TTTCAAGTACAGGCAGCTAAAAGTAAGGGAAGGGTAATTCTGTAACTCGGTGTGAGCAGAACCTGATATTGTGGGAGCAAAGAATTTATTTTCCAAGAATCGGTGTTGTTCTTTCGGCAATATTAAATATTTCTAGAGGTTCCTCACGTGCTTTATGAAAAGTTGGAAATTTGTGCGTTTAGATCGATACTAAAAGCAAAGCTTTGAGATAACTGGGGCTCCTATTGGGGAGGTCCTAGTGATCTCCACACCAAGTATGAAAGATTTTCAAGTACAGGCAGCTAAAAGTAAGGGAAGGGTAATTCTGTAACTCGGTGTGAGCAGAACCTGATATTGTGGGAGCAGATACTGAAGGAGGAATTGTTCTGACCCTGCATTTGCAGTGAGAAAGAGAATGGTTGGGGAGAGCAACTTATTACCTTGTGGTCTTGGAATATTTTTGTAGTCAAATGTTATTTTACTGATGTGGAGGGTGTACGGTGTTTAACTTGGATGCTAACAGGTGTGTCAGGGCCACGTAAAAATTGCAATTTAATGAAGGGTGAAATACTTTTTCATTAATGTGCTTTTAACCTCCTATATTCCTAAAGGTCCTGTAGCATTTTCTTGAGCCATTGCTGAAGTGGAAGAACATTGAGTCAGAGTAGTGATGATCAGAAACAGCGTAAAAGACTTGTCTGAGGTTGACTGACCTTCTATTTTACTTCTTAGGGGAGGATTAAGTAAGGGCAGACAGTATTCAAGTTTAATACCTAACATAAATTCGTTTCTAAGCAAACTAGCAGGTGGGATGTGAATTAGTATGCAGTCTGTGATCCACTGCTTAAGCAGCACTTTAAACCTGCTAAATATTGCTCCTAAACCTTTTTTATTTAGGTCACATATTCAAGTAATTTTGATACATAGACTGGTATCACAGGATCACAGGACTATATGGGGTTGGAAGGGACCTCTGGAGATCATCTCCTCCAACCCCCTGCCACAGCAGGGTCACCCACAGCAGGTCCCACAGGAACGTGTCCAGGAGGGTTTGGAATGTCTCCAGAGAAGGAGACTCCACCACCTCTCTGGGCAGCCTCTGCCAGGGCTCTGTCACCCTCACACCAAACAAGTTCCTCCTCATGTTTAGGTGGAACTTCCCATGTTCCAGTTTGTGCCCGTTCCCTCTTGTCCTGTCCCTGGGCACCACTGAGAAAAGCCTGGCCCCATCCTCCTGACACCCACCCTTGAAGGATTTATAGGTGTTGATCAAATCCCCCCTCAGCCTTCTCTTCTCCAGACTCAAAAGACCCAAGTCCCTCAGCCTTTCCTCAGCAGAGAGATGCTCCAGGCCCCTCATCATCTTTGTAGCCTCTGCTGTCCCCTCTCCAGCAGTTCCCTGTCCTTCTGGAACTGGGGAGCCCAGAACTGGTCCCAGTGCTCCAGATGGGGCCTCCCCAGGGCAGAGCAGAGGGGCAGGATGACCTCCCTCCACCTGCTGCTCACGCTCTTCCTGATGCCCCCCAGGATGCCCTTGGCCTTCTTGGCCACCAGGGCCCATTGCTGGCTCCTGGGCATCCTGTTGTCCCCCAGGACTCCCAGGTCTTTCTCCTCAGAGCTGCTCTCCAGCAGGTCAGCCCCAACCTGTCCTGGCGAAGGAATTTCCCTATGAGTTGTCTTGAGTCAAGGAATATCACTGTGGTCTCAACCTGAGTTAAGAACCCATTGTGAAGCAACATCATACATCATGAGAGGGAGGTAGAGCCTATTAACAGGCTGTTAATCAGCACAATATGCCTCTGGGGAAGAAGAATGGGGAATGTATGATGAATGATATAGCTGTGATTTGGGACGTGAAATATATTGCTCGTTAGCTCGGCAAGCTTTGGGTTCACATTATGGTGTAACTGCTGTGGTTTTTGAGGGCAACCTTCTCCATCCGTGGGGGCTGGTTGATAAGGAAAGCTGAGTTTGGGCATTGTAAGCTTTCACAGTGCCAAGTATTTGATCCAGGTGATTTCTTCTGGGATATTTTTGGTGTTTTTTTTTTAAAATCTCTGAACATAGAACAAATGTCATCAAGCAGCTTATGGGCTTGGTGTAAATTATGTATTTCTATGGAAATATTATTGATTTAGTTTTTTGTTAGGAATAAGCAAAATGCCTTGCAAAGTTGCTTGGATCTTGTTGAATTTTAATGGGAGAATTGGATTTTTAGGTACGTAAGAAAGGCTTATCTCTATAGGATTGTATATCGGAGTATCTGTTTGTTAATGCATTTTTAAATGGAAAAAAAAATACTTTAAGTATGTTTTCCTGCCTAATTCCAGACCTCTGTAAATCTCAATCCAATTAGTGGACTAATCTATGCCACAGTTGATAAATTACGAGTTTTTTTTCAACATCCTTCTGGGGGGAAGTGCTGATACAGGCACAGTTCTGGATTTTTTTAAATTCATTTTACCTTGTGTGGGTTGTATCTACCCTTTGATAATTCGTCTACATGGTCATGACCTTTTGACTGCAGATGAGATTACAGCTGATTGAGGTTTCCTCGTTTCAGGTCCATGAGCAGAAGTACTAAACTAAAGCCCAGCAGAGATTACGTAGGTAGAAAAAAGAAACAGAAAACAAAGAATCCCATGGTTTCATGGTTCTTGCCGTGCATTTACAGGCTGGGAATATCCACCTGAGTCGTTTCTGATGGTTTGCCTTTTTTGGAGGGTGGGGATGGTATGTAGTGATTGCTCAGCGGTGATCCGTCCTTCTGCAAACGCGATGTCACTCGAGTTGCTTATAAACTTCAGATTAGGTAGAAAAAAGAAACAGAAAACAAAGAATCCCATGGTTTCATGGTTCTTGCCGTGCATTTACAGGCTGGGAATATCCACCTGAGTCGTTTCTGATGGTTTGCCTTTTTTGGAGGGTGGGGATGGTATGTAGTGATTGCTCAGCGGTGATCCGTCCTTCTGTAAACGTGATGTCACTCGAGTTGCTTATAAACTTCAGATTCACTCAGATTTATATCGACTGTCAACATCTAACAGTACTTGGGATCCATTTTCCCATCTCCTTTGTGTAATTGTTCTCTTCTGTTGTACGCAGCTTTGGACTTTAAATTGTACATATGTTTTCAGTTTCAACCTAACTCTGATATAAACCACCACTAACCCATGTCCCTCAGCACTATGTCAACCCATCTTTTAAATCCCTCCAGGGATGGGGACTCCACCACTTCCCTGGGCAGCCTGGTCCAAGGCTTAATAACCCTTTCAGTGGAGAAATCTTTCCTGATATCCAATCTGAACCTCCCCCGGTGCAACTTGAGGCCGTTTCCTCTTGTCCCATCGCCTGTTCCTTGGGAGAAGAGACCGACCCCCCCTGGCTACACCCTCCTTTCAGGGAGTTGGAGAGAGCCAGAAGGTC